CGCCCTGGACCCACTGGGGGCCTCAAGGCGCCCCCCAGACCCCCTGCCTACTTTCTGCGCCCTCCCCTAACTTCAATTCCTGGATCCGCGCCTGTCTATAAATTAAATTTCAAACTTTAAATCTTGAGAATGGTACTTACTTGTCTTAAGTCTACATAGCAGCTGATGCATTTACGTGGCCAGTGAATTAATGAAGTTTAGTTTTGTAATTAAATTCATGATATACAATGCCCGTATACAAGAGAGAGAGAGAGAGAGAGAGAGAGAGGATATATATGCGTTTAAAAAAAATACACAATAAATCTATACTTTGATATTTTTTTAATGCATGCGTCATTTTATTGTTCTCATACTCTGCTTCCAGAATTTTACTATTTCAATTAAAACCCTGCTTTTTTCATTGAAATGATATACATGTACATTGTAAAATACATGTAGTATTCTGCTGATCAACACGTATATGTTTAATGTGATTTTTTTTTTATTTTTTTTTTTTTTTTTGGATTTTTTTAAAACTTGGCTTTATATGACAGGTTCAACAAGAAGAATGGAAATTAATACACAGGACAATCTGCTTTCTTTTTTTCCTTAAGGTAATTATGGGGGGTAGGGTGGGGGGTGAATTCGTCGTAATCTTGTCTTTACTAAAATTATCTCTCCTTACCCAGTCTTTATTTTTTTATTGCAATTCTCCCCCCCCCTATTCTCTCTCTCTATCCTCATAATGAATGAAAATTCCACAGTTTACTTCAGACAGTACCCGGTACTTCAGTCTATTTTTACCATATCACATCCTGTATCAGTCCGAGACACCAATATCAGCCAGAGGGCCGAAGGCCCGAGGGCTGATACAGAATGTGAATTGGAAAAAGGTATGTTTTATTATGTTTATTACATGCATCGCATATGCAAAAATTCTGTATTTATTACTAAGTATGTAATAAATGTAAAAAAATAAATGATAATTTATACACCAGGCAACATATTATCGCAGGCACGGGGTTTGTGTCCATTCTATGTGGAAATAGAATATTGTCTAAAAACGCATGGCAAAAATGAAAAAAAATGTCTTAAAACCATCCTAAGCAAAAATTTGTTTTTGTTTTTTGGCGCATGTATCAATATCACAGAAAGTTTTAGCTCTCCAGGAGGTTATTTTCTCCAGTACAGATTGAGGTTTCTCAGCTCAACATTTCCTGGTTCAGTGTTCTAACGATGGATCAAACAGTAGCATGTCAACTGACCACAGCTATGTACTATTGTGGCAGAGTGTTTGTATCTGACAGTGTTGTCCACTCTTTCTTGTATTCCTGTACGAATAACTGTTAACACGTGAATGAATAATGTCAAAATTTTAAAGAACTAGTTCTAAATGAAATGTGAAGATATGAAAAGATCAGGTGCCATCACCCCCCCCCCCCCCTCCGCCCTTTGTCTTGATCGGATAAACGGAGTAATCTTTAGACAATTCAATATGAAAATAATGGACTAACAATTTGTATTAAAACGTCAGTCAACATTCAACCTAATGACAGGTCGTATTTGCAAACAAAGTCATTTTATCGACCATAGAATTTGCAAAATGTCTTTATTCTTGTATCATTAACTTATTTGTCTGTAGCCTACCTCGGCTTAGAAATTTTTAATTGTTCGTAGAACTCTTCCATAGAGCTCTTGCATATCGAATCAACTGGGAAACATACACAACATATGTAGGTGATAATGGTATTCCTATATAAATAAGGGACGCTGAAGATAGAAAAGTTAAAGTCGTCATGTTAAATAATATATAATAAAGTTTAGTTGTCAGTTTGTCATCAATGTCTTTCTCTAGTAAAACATCCAAATATGGACTCCGAGTTTAGTAGGATATATCGAATGAACGTATGAATAAAAAAATGAACATTGTTAATTGATAAAACTTCATCGATATATATATATATATATATATATATATATATATATATATATATATATATATATATATATATATATATATATATATATATATATATATATATATACCTAAATGTCGAACGACACAGCAAGAGACTGCTTTTCATGTAGAAGTTTTTGAATTAAATTCTGCTTGAATTCATAAGAATACGGAAAAACAAAAAATAAAGAGACACAATTAGTACCGATGGAAATTCCAACAGATTGTTGGTAGACTCGGCCTCCAACCACAAAGATTTCAACGATCGAGGAACCCAAGCATTTTTTAAAACAACTTATAGTACTTGTGTGTAGAATCTGAATGATTTTTAACTAAGTTTGTAGATGACCATGCAATCACTTGATATGAAAATTTCCGAGTTCCATTTTTGATGAGGTAGTAGCTGTCTCTGTTGTCAAAGAAAAAAAACCCTGCAGGCATGTTTATGAACTCTATATTTTAGGACGAAGGAATCTACTGATCATTACCTATTAGATTTTTTAAAAACACTTTCTTTGATGATTGTTTATCTGTTACCAGGTCCATAGAAACGGTTTTAAAAGGGGTGGGGGGCAAATTCCCCAAAAAAGTCTGACAAGCAAGGTTAAAAAAACAATTCCCAAAATAATCGTACAAGGAAAAAAACCTAGTTAACTGTCCAAATCCTGGAATTGCCACTGCTCGACCTTACAGCAACAAAAAGTGAAGGGGGGGGGGGTTGTTGTTTAACGTCCCTCTCGAAAATTTTTCAGTCATGTGCATGGAGACGCCACCACGTGCCGCTGGAGGGCTACAAATTTTGACCTATACTCGGCACTCGGGGTCATTGAACACTGAGGGATCTTCTTCGTGCCTGAACCTTCTGCGACACGGGACCTCGGTTTGTGCGGTCTCATCCTAAAGACCGGTCTCCACGTCCAGCAGTGGGATTTGAACCCACAACGTAAGGATCAACTCCTTACTCTGCGACTCTAGAGCAGACGCTCTAACCACTGCGCCACGCGGGGGGTTGGGGGGTTAACTAGCATCTAAATGAAAAATACTATACTCAGACCCCCCCCCCCCCCCGCGTTCTATGGGCCTGTCTGTTAGAACAGTAAGGTTGCGATTCAGGCGGGTACTTTCCTTTCCCTTTCCAGAGAGAGAGAGAGAGAGAGAGAGAGCTGTTGATCATCTGGAGATAAACAACTTTCTGAAAATATATCTACGTCTCTATTTGTGGATGATAAATACATGTACACTGTTGTAATGTATAGGGTTAATGTTATTGTTTCTTCAAAAGGGAATAGATCACAGTAGTTGAATGGTTACAATTTAGAAAATGTGATAAAACAATTTATACTCAACAAAGTCAGCTTTACATGGTTACATAAGGAAACAGAGTTCAATGTAGAAAGTAGTAGCAAGTAACCACTGGCTACCCACAGGGTCTTGAGACAGTATGAGCAAAAATCGTTAGTTTTTGGTCAGATTTGTCTCAAGACCCTGTGGGCTACCCTTTGGACTACCTTGTTCACCTTTAAGACTACGTTCCCACAATTCCGATGGTCGTGCACATATCAGCTTATCGTGATGATCCTATCAAATCAGATCTTAAGGACATACGCAACGTACCTTACCTACTGATAATTTTTCAAGATATTCTTAATTTAAGATTATAGTGCAATCAGATGTTCGTAGACAAAAAATAAGCATGCATTACCAGGGGTTTTGAAAAGATATTAATTGATGAAAATTCTTGTATAATTCAAAGAAAAATATACAAAAATTTCTAGACATATATTCTAGATGTTTTTTTTTATCCATACTTGTTTTACAAGAAGTGTACAACAGCATATATAGACATTAAAATGTAGCACACAGTTCCTTTAAGTATTGGAACTCTTCAACTCCAGGGGAAAAGACAATAAAGTTCAAAGTATGTTGCGTATGTCCTTAAGGCCAGTTCAGCAATTGAGTTTTTCGAACTTGTTAATTATATCCCCGCTTAAAAAGCCGGGGGGGGGGGGGGTTTGCATAGTGATGGGGGTGTCCGTCCGCCCGTCTGTCTGTCCGAAATTAAAAGAGAGTAGCTCTGCCATCAGTTAGGAATGGTCACGCGTAGAGTTCACAACAGATCGCACGACATTGGAAACCGGGAGTGAAAGAAGTGGACCTGTCCTTACGACCCTGCTTTTGAACAGAAGGGTATAGAAATGGAAGAACCTATGTACACCCCTGCCGCCCCTAGTCTACCGCTACAGTACGGAAATCAAAAATGTTTTCGATGGTACATAGAAAATGTAGCGGTAATGATACGCACCAAGTGGAGAAAAAAAAATAGATGCCCTGGACAAGTATTTTTACACAGATGTTTTTAGACCTTGACCTTTGATCTAGAAAACTGACCCCCCCCCCCCCCCACCCACCCATGGGCACTCATGAGTAAAGTTTGAGCTGGACTGGGCCAAGGGAAAAGAAAACATGCTCCAGACAAATGAAATTGGTTGGACAAACTGATCAAAAGAGGCACCCGCAGAGCGGGGTCCTAATGAGGTTTATAAACCTTATGTGATTTGTTTGTTGTTTAACGTCCCTCTCGAGAATTTTTCACTCTTTCACTCCTATGGAAACGCCACCACTTGCCGGTGGAGAGCTGCAAATTTTTTACCCATACTCAGCACGCAGGGCCATTGAGCAGTGAAGGATCTTTTTCCTGCCAGCACCTTCTGCGACATGGGAACTCGGTTTATACGATCTCATCCGAAGGACCGGTCTCCACGTCCCCCAGTGGGATTCGAAACCCGCAACGTTATGTGATTTGATAGGCTTATCAAAATAAAAAAAAATTATGGTAATGCGACAATATCCTTCATTTCTGGATTTTCTTTTAGGAATTTGAAAGTGGATGGGGGTAGGGAGTGTGGGGGGGGGGGGGGGGGGGGAGGTGTCAATCTACCAAACTGATGATAAGAGAAAATGCCCCATCTTAATTTGATAAGGTACATTTGCTTCAATGCCCTGTGATGGTAATGTATCCTGAACTGACAAAATGACAGTTCAACAATGAATCATGACACAGATATAAATGTTTTTAAATTTTTACTTGCCTGCCTTCATTTTATATGAGGACAGGTTATAGTGACAACAGAGTATTGTGATGAAATAACAAATGCAGTTATATTTTCTTCATGAATTTCATTCATGTACATTTACACTTTCATATTGGACACTCTTGATGATGCGGGATCAGTGTCCCTTGTTTCAACAAAAAACTCCCATCTTTCATACTCACACATTACAAAAATATAAGAAAATCTTTTGATATTCAAGAATACAGTATACAAGATAATATACAAGTCAGTCAGTTTATGGAATGTGAACATAACTCCCACAAACATGATTTCATCATGTTAAACTTAAATCATATATGACACACAGAAGCACCATTGAAATATACCCCAGACTGATAGAAATATAAAATGTTCACATGTGTATCTACACAGGCATCAAGCTAACCTGATTTTGCTGACCAATGGTAATATTTCCTTAAAATTTTATATATACTCTATATGTACTGTTGGTCACCATGGTCAAGAGATTGGTGCCTGTTGCATGTCTGTGTCAAAAAAATTAAATGGAGATCATTTATTCCTTCACATTATACAAATATGGGTATTTTCTCTTTTAAAAATACTCTTTTTGGATGAAGATAACTATATAACTGATGTCCCTTGTTTCAATACATATGTACTCTGTTACAATACACATGAACTCTCCAAAGACAGTAAGCCCTGACTATTGTTATGAAGATAAGCAAAATGATCAGATCGAACACCCAATAAATGAGAAATCATTTGAGCAAAATCAGTAAATAAAGTTTCTGGAATACATCTACAAAAAAAATTAATAAACTTCATTGCTAACATAATCATATCTTCAAAAATTCAGTAAAAATAACTCTTCTTGAAGAAATCGTCCAAGTCTATATTTGTCTCCAAGATCTACTGAATGATCAAATTGCATAGTCCCCTAAAAATGATACATGTACATACACATACTAAGTTATTAGGATTTATTCCAAGAATAAAAAGTAGGCTAAATATAAGTAACCATAAACTGTAAAATGTTTTGTAAATGTTATACATGTATGTATTTGATACAACCAGGTAGAAGTGTGTAATGTAATAGTGATACAAGTGAATAAAATAATTATAAAATATAGCAAGACTACAGTTTTAAATGTTTCACAAATGTAAACATGGTAAATAAAATGATATAAAATCTGTAAACAAAAACCTTTACATCTAATTAGATATTATACCAGTGTGGGAAGCCTTTTCAGTCTACAGTATACATCTTGCAAAAAAAATTTCCTGCGGTAGAACTATTAATAATTCAGCTGATAGCTTGTGTTGATATTTTCAATGTAGGATATCTTTTTGTTTGAATGTGCAATATGTACATTATATGTACATTACTCCTTTGAGGATTTGAATTTTGTGTCATGTAGAAAATTAAATTCATGTAAAAAAAATACTTAGGCACACACTAAAACTTAATTCTGTTCTGTAACTTGCTAAAATTAAATTTATACAGCACCAATGGGACAATATGGAATATAAAATAAGTTATAGCCCTAAAACAAAGATTGGAATGATAAGAAAAAAACACAGTATCATTATACAGTGCTAGGAGATATTCACATCTGTTTAACAACAATACTGCATTTCTTTAATTAAAAAAAATATATCACATTAACTAAAAGAAATAATTTTATAAAACTTTGTTATTGCAGTTTCTAGTTGTGGGGTGAAAGCTTTCCTTTCATGTAGCCTTTCCAACGCTCTATAGTACTGGAAAATAACGGATCGCTGTCTACTTCACTCAAAAGTTCAATCTGATTTATATGAACTTTATGATAGTCCCATCGAGCTCGGTTAGGGGCCAAGCCCGCTGTGATATGTCGAAGGTCATAAAACGTCCCTGTACCACTGTCAAACATAAGAAGCATTGTTTTTAAAGTCCTCATTCCATTGTTAAATAATTGTTCAGCTTTTTCACTAATTCTTCCATTAGCTATTTCTTTAAGGTCATAGAGACCTATGAGAGAATACATAAATCCATTTAGCACAAAACTACTAGGTGTTGTGGGGTATTCCTCATACCAGTCATACACATTGAGATACTTGGAAGTCACTCCTCCTTTGGAGCTTGGAATGTCAAAAATATTAAGGGCTTTGCCTGCAGTCTCTATATATTTGTAGTCTTTTGAGACAATATAGGCACGTACAAGAAGAGAAATGGCCTGGCCTTGACCCATGGCAGAATACCATCCTGGCTCTAATTCCATGACCTCTGGAATTAATTTACGATGCACCATCACAGGCCAACCTCCTTGCGTATCTTGATGCCGCACCAGGTAGTTTGCAGCATCATAAAATAGGTCCATGTGGGCATGAGCAGAGACTGTGACATTGTCCATTACTCCATGCCCACGGACACAAATGGCAGAAATACGAGCTGCATTTTTCATTCTGGAGGCACGGGTTTTCGAATACTGTAAATTCAATCCCTTTTGGAAATCTGTTAATAATAATCTAGTTAAGTGAAACCACTTTCCTTTTCTGGAGGCTCCAAGTCCATAATAAAGATCACGACTGCCTTCTAATTTCATTACAGTGTCACTAAGCACATAGTGGATTCGGAACAAGTTTCCATCTCCCATTTTAATTATAACAGTTACACTGCCATCATTTATGAATTTGAGGTCCATAGAAAGTGTTGACAACTTCCTCTCATTTGTTGATATAGCAATACCTGGATTTTTCAAGTCAGCTACAAAGTGAAATAATAAATTTAATCAATTAAACAACAATTATTTAATCTAAACTTTTTAAAAGCACCTTTGTTACGTTTCCTAGATATTCAAAACCTTAAAGTTACATACATAACCATGTGAAAATCATCTTTACATTTTTTAATACAATAACTAGACTTATGAATCTTAGCAGAATCGCAATAAGACATCAATTCATCTTTTCACATTCGGAAATAGATTATATATACACATTTCACTTAAAATACGAAACATATTTTTAAAAGTTTAACTGCAATTTCTAAATGGAAATAAAAAGAAATAAATTTGCTTCTACAATTTAAACCCTTACGAGAAGTCTTGAATTCAACTACTGCATTATCAATTGATGTGCGTTCATCCAGTCTGCTGCGAATCTCAGAGTTTGAATCTGGAAGTAGCCAGTCAGATATATCTGTCTGCTCCCCATCCTCCAGAACCTTCACCTTGTTTTTTGGCTGGTTCAGTTGTTTACTGTAGTGACTCAGTCCAAACTGGGCTATCTGTATTGGGTAGTAGTGCCCTTTGGGATCCCACTGTGTTGAAATTGGAACACCTGAAATCATTTCAAGTAAGAGTTATTCCTCTTTAGTCAGTAAATGTAAAACATTCACTGGAAATAAAATTTCACAGTTCTTCTTATTAATGCATTAATATAATGTAACATAAAAGCATTTCAAATTAATGTTCAAATGGCATGAATATTTGTAAAAACAGGGGGTAGGACAAAATCATGTTTGAGAGATTTTTCTTGTAAGAAATCTTTGTACAATTTACTTGCAATATTTACATCAATTTGTTCTTTCTGATGCTTTCAATTTAGAAAATACAAAAAATTCACATCTCTCAAATAAAGAGATATCAGTATTTGTCACTTCCTTAATTGATGTCTTATTGCGATACTATTAAGATTCATAAGTCTATTCATTGTATTAAAAAATGAAGCACAAACTATTTTCAAATCATTTGTTGACATTAATTCCAAGACATCCTGTTTTAAACTTATTAGAACCCAACTCTTACATGTAATGAAGCATTTGTTCAATTGCTTCAATGCATATCACCACTAATTGAGAGTCTTTAACTGAAATTAACAGCACATATTATTATGGTCTTTTAAGTATGTAGTGTCTTTTCATTGGTTCTATCCTAAAAAACTTTGGAATATGCATTGTGGGTTTAGTTTAAGAAGCCACCTCTCTTATGATAAATCATTATGTGTTTTACACTCTTACTGTAGAAATGTAATTTGAAATAAAGTTTTTTTTCTTATCTTTTCACATATATATATAAGTACTTGTAGGTTGTACTTGAAGTCTAAAGAAAGTTGTTCGTAGAAAAATGCTTAAGAAATACTAAATAACACAACATAATATTGATTCTCATATGGCATAATTGAGTGATAAAAAGAGGAAGAAATATGCCAAAATCAGAAGGGTATTCAAGTCAGGCCATACCAACATAAAACAGTATTGTAGAGAAATATCTACCTTCAATGCCACAAACACATTTCACCCTATTCCTGTCTTCCACATTGTAGAGATCAAATGACATGAAGATGCCACTGGGAGAGTACTTTGGTTGAGGACCAGACGGGAAATCATCCTGGTAACTGTGATGGAATGAAAACCTCTCGTATCCATCTGATGTCTCCAGGGAGCCATACACCTATTATATTAACAAATCAAAATCAAAACAGGATTTTTTTTCCTCGAAAATGCCAATTAATTGTGGATTAATTATCATGCATACAAGTGGCTAATATTTTAAAAATTTACTTCATTTACCTCAAAATATTTTTGGATGAATGAAAATGGCATGTAAACTTCATTTCCATCCTTTCTTCCTTTCACAGAGTAATCTCCATTAATGACACACTCTATCTCTTCATAGTTCAGTTTATTTGTTCTCTTGGCATGTGTGTAAGATTGCGCTGCTCTAGGCTGAAAACCCACTGAGCCATCAAACTCACTGTCAAGATGAGGCAATTTCTCATCCCTAAATTTTTTTTTAAACAAATCAAAATACATTTATAGAACTTTAGTTCCTTTTTCTCAGCATTCTTTTCACATGAAAATTCTCTGTTATTTGCATTATTGCCCAAATATCAATCTATATCAAGTTTTTACTGCCAATTGAAAACTATCATTTCACTTCAGAATGTTAGAAAACTTTACCTATTATAGTTGTTGTCACTCCTGGAAAGATCACATTTTCCAGTGTTGTAGACTGTCAGAAGGAGAGTGAAGATGCCCGCACATGCTATCAGAAGCTTAAGATTGGCTCGGGGCATGTTTATTCTAACACCTACAATACAATTTAAATTATAATTATTGATTTCAAGGAAACTACTGATTGTAGATATATAATCAAATAATTATACAAAAAAACACAAATAAATAATAAAAAAAAATATTTTTTTCCCCTTTGATATGGAAAATAATTGCAGGCAGAGTTTATTATAATCAAAGATGAACTAATCTATTCCCTTCATTAGATAAACTTTGCAATTCCAACAAAGAAACATTGAATATTCATTGATACATTGGAGTGAGTCTGTAGTCTGAGGATATTTAAACCAAGTCTCTACTCTACCTAATTTAATATATCAAGTTCTTCATTATTACAAAATTTCTCAACAGTATCTTCATGCTCAAGGTATTGACATTGTATTATACTACATTAGAATTAGACACAATTTATCAGGCCTTTCAAAATCTGCAGGTATCCAGTACTTTTACCTGATTGAAATCATGATTGTATTAGCCAAAATATTTGAAGGCGAAAATTTTGCTAACATTATACATTTATTGACTGGGTTCAAGGGCAAAATGTGTTTTGTCGGACCCAAGAACCAAACTGTTTGCCTGAGACTATTAGGCGGAAGGCAAACAGTTTGGTTTGAGGGGTCTACAAAAAGCATTTTGCCAGAGAAGTTGAACACAGTCAGTAAATGTTTTGTTATACCTTATATTATTTGACATACATGTATCTTGTGCTGGCTTCCATGATGTAAATTTCCTATACCTGTACTAAAACTCAGTAAATTTTGTCACTGTCGAACACCAACAGATGCAAATAAGATTTAGCTGATCCCACCCACAGTTTTACTTAAGCTTTCTAATATCTCATCAACAGGTCCAATATCTTACTCTGTGGTCAAACATCAACTTTTTTATTACCCCTCAGTAAAACATTGAAAATGTTAGACTTTTTTTAAAGTATAGATTTATATAGGAACCAATTTTTAAAGGTAAAACAAATTAAATTAAAATCTCTTCCACAAGGTACCTCCTATTTTTGTAAAAGTACTGTCTGTTTCTAATCTTTTTGAAAGCCCTGATTTATTTTACCAGAAGAGAAATCAGTACAAAATCTGAACTTTCAATCTGAGGCTGTTATGATGCAGATACCGAATTGTGTATACATTCAATGTCACATCAAATTAACGCTTACTTACAGACTCACACTCTTTAAGTCATGTGGTTGTACATAGTACAGTGTGTTAATACAATGTCAGGGTGTAGATCTTTTATGATTTTTTTTTAGAGTCTTCAGGTCTTTATTAAGTGGTGCCTTGATAATTTTTAAGACACACGACTTACACAATTATTTCTAGTCAATAATTATTATAGTAAGCATAATAAAAACTTGACGTTTAGAAAAAAAAAAACAACACACACACACCGATGAATGTTTGAATGACGAATAAAAGACGAGTTAAATGACTAACAAAAAGAACAGGTGATGTCAGACACACATTCCATAGTCCAGAGAAAGTGGGTCAACAGAATACCTGTTCGTTTTTAAAGATACACTCACATGTCCCTGTTAATGTCAAAATTCGAATCCGTACTTCTACATTTTGCTGATGTCCTTATGTTAAACTATCGACAGAGAAAATCTCCACAACTAATCGTCTTCCCCACAAAGCTGACTGACAACCAGTCTTGTCCGACAGAGAAAAACATATAAACCTTTAAGTTTAGAGAGTTCCATTAATAAGGGACATAACTCAAAATTTGTTATTTGGTGTATGATGATGGGTAAGTAGTCAGTATCATTCCTGAGCAATACTTCCAATAGACTAAATGCATTATTATAAATCAATCAATGACAATAAAAAGGACCCGTTTTCTGTACATGTGTGATTTATCAGTTCACTTTCCTGTACTTAAAAATATTTTAAAATTGTCTGCAAACATGCAGCATTTTTGTTTTAACGCTAGACTTTTAGTTTTAGTAACCTAGCCCCAAGACCATAAAATGAGAACAGACTTAAGTCAAAATTTCAAATTAGTATAATTTTAAAAATAATTTTGATGATGAAACAAAATTTTTAATATGTGTTTGAATTTGTGTATTATAAAAATCTGCATTAAACATTACTTGCAGATTTTTATAATACACAAAATCAAACACATGTTGAAAATTTTGTTTCATCATCAAAATTATTTTAAAAATTATAGATCTCAATGAGAGGCTCAAGATTTTTATCCGTTTTTAAGATACACTTAAATGTCCCAGTTAATGTCAAAATTGTCTGCAAATTAACACGCAGCAAAATTATAATGTCTGAATATGTCTGTTATCCAGACAATTATTGATTATGGAGACCCCCCCCCCTCCGAAATCCAATTTACAAGCTTACAATTAAAAACCACAGGTGTCAGCTCCCTGAACTTTAAATTCATGAACAGTCAAATATAATATATATCTTGGTAAGTAGAAAGGCACCTGGTCACTGGCCTAAAGGCTTAATTCAAGAAAAAAAGATTCTTGTAAGACCCCATATATCACAGCTGAATTGAACATGAGTATGTACAATAAGGGAACCTGTAATTGTCATTTGTAAAGGTGTAATCATTTACAACACAATTAGAATACATTACCTTAGGGTCGTGACATCAAAGTGAAACACACCTGTAGCTACCTAGAGCAAAGGGAGGCAGATTGTTATCTTCTCAGCCTACAAAGAAATTAAAGAGACACTTCCAAATACAATGTAACAACATTTTCAAAGAGAATATTAATTAAAAGAAACAAGTCCAAGAATGTTAACTTTAAGAGGGACAAACTGACATTCATTCATGACTTGTACATACATACAATGTCAAAATCTTGTATTTGCTGTGAAATGAATGATCAGAACCCATCTGAATATTCCTGATTATATACAATAATTGATATAAATATTGAGACACCTTTAATTATAATCATGTTATTTGTTCACTTTATTTACTGAATGATCACTTTAAAGAAAATTGAGGACGTTTTTGTCATATAGAAAACTAATATAACAAAGAGATTTAAAGTCTATAAACTGGATGTAAATTAGGAGGTCTGGAAGAAACTTGGAAAAAGAAATCCTAAATTGATTAAATTAAAATTGGTCATATTTTGAGAGCTTGAAGCATATTGTCCACGAGACTTCCCTAAATTGATGCCAGTTTTGCTTTTAACAATGCATGCAGGAACAATTCTATCTCTTAAAGATTTCTTATATCAATTTCCGCCTTGCCTAATAGTAATTTTACAGCATACTTGAGATGCTACTTAATATGCTGACTATATCATTAAAGTCTACTAGTATTTTGTGGCCACTGATTGTAGCATCACTTGATGAAATGTCCTGAATTCAGGACAAAGTGCCCTATATCAGTAATATACCTATGACATATCTTTCTTAATTGACATATAACGGCTTGAATAAGTATCCTACTAATCTCTTCTGAACAATTACCTAGCTATTTGAATTTCTACTCTAACAGTCTGAGAATGAATTTCCTACCATTATTCAGCACTGTACAGTGATTGATCGAGAGAGAGAGAAAGAGAGAGAGAGTCCATTTACCTATACTTAGGACAACAGGATCGAAACCTCTGCTTAGCAGTTGTTCAGTGAAACTGATAGCATACTAAAAGTATAACTTCAGTCTAAACATTGTCACACTGAATAAGTACTAGAAGCTGAGACAGATCTTATCATAGAATAGACCTCCATGAAATACTGATTACTAAGTAGTAAAATGAAACCCACTACCTATTACCTGGGGGTACTAATCCTTTTAAATGAAGTGCAATTAGACATCTTACAACTCCTAGCACGACAAAGTCAATAATCCAGTATTTTTTCTGGGAGGTATCTCCTTAAAAATCAATTTCTAACTCATTACTGAGTGACAGGTGATAAATCTGAATTATATAGAGCCTTGATATATCTTTAGCCTTGTTCTTTCACTTGAATTCTTTTCATTATAATAATCTTTATTGTTCTATTAATATCTGTGAGGCAGTGTGAATAAACCATGTCAATATTTGCCTAGTGAATAAAATAGATAAACATGTAGCAGTAAATGTGACAAAAATTTAGTGACATTATCAGGTATCCATTATTAAAAAGAATGATAAAAACTTGATCTCTTTACCAGAAGAATTTTAATTGCTGTCATTGTTATTATCTATGTTAAAAAAATGTCCTCTGGGCTTTTCTTTTTAGTCTAATTTTAAACTATTAAAAAAGGAATTAGTGTAAATTTTATACGTATATGATGATAATGAATGTAGATGCATATTAATTAATTGTGATACCAATTTGTAGCCAAGTTTTGGTTACCCATAAAATTATGCATTTTTTAAAATTATTATTTTCAAATTATGGTATTATTTTTTTTTTTTTTCAAATTTATTTTATAGAGTTGATAACAATTTGCACCAGAGTTCATAGGCTGAATGGAAGTGAAATATGATTTGCACATACTTCAATCCAAAAGCACAATTTGGAAAAAAAAAAGCAAGCTAATTCATGTACCGGTACTTGAAGATTTACATTGAAGATTGAAGGACTGTTCAACTATATACATGTGGACATGACCTGAAAGATCCTACCCCACATTTCCACATATAAATAAGTTATCTTTATCCACTGCATTCCAAGACAAGGGAATTTAAGGTTTTATCTAAATAGCCCTTTTACATTCCATTATCACACTTTTAAACATTATCTTAATCTCTTTAAAAACTCAACCAAAACACACTTAATAGTATGTTCTTCATTCCAAGTTGTCGAGTTTTAAAGTGCAAAAATACTTTTATATGAAAAAAAAGTATGAAGTAATTTAACACATAATTCATGTTTCTCTCGTTTTGTCTTGTAGGCCATGATAGTAAGAATTTAATTAAGTGATCACCTGACATTTTAATTCCACATATGGACCTGCAGCTTTGATGTAAAAGGTCAGTATTAAGATGCTTGAACCACAAATATGGATTCTGTAGTGGATACCATCTGTCTGCTAGTGTTCAGACTAGATGGATTTTTTTTTAAATTGACTCTTGTCCTTTTTAATCAAAGTTATTGATTAAATCCTTGTAAAAAAATAAATAAAATGTCCAATACCTCATAAATCTACCTATTCTCTTTAGAGAAATGGTCAGGTTTTTCCCTTCATCCACTTCTGTGGCAAAAGCTGGTCCACCTCTCTAAAGAGAATAAAACCTAGCTAGTAATTTGGAACTGGGCACGTATAAAATATTTTGACATAAACATTGATAAGGTTTTCCTTTTAATCATGAAATACTTAACAGTTAATTATTATTAAACAGAATCCAAGACTTTAATTTTAATTATATTAAAAAATAAACTTACAGGAACTTATTCCTCATACATCTGCCTACATGCATCAGAGCTCACATTAAATACATGTCAAACAAAATGCAGATAAACACATCATTATTACACACACAGCTGCATGCATATTGTGGTAATGTGGTGGCCAGAAAGGAATACTCATTAGAATAAATGACAGAATTAGGCTGAGAACAAACTTTTCAATTTTTATCATGCCTTTTTCAAGGACAAACATTCACTCTACCTGTGTTTCATTGTTAAACTTGTTTTTTGTGGTGTTAGCCATGCTTATAGAGATAGAACAGGTTCTTGATAATTCTGACATTGAGTCAAAACCAGGTTTTATTTGCTCAGGATTAGAGGCCAAAAAGGCTACAAAAAGCTACTTTCATCCCAGAGTAAATAAACTACCTGATATTATGTTAATCTTGTTTGGACAAATGTTAGTTCTTTTTGTGTACAATGATTTCTTTTTTCACCTTCTTTTAAAGACTTGACACATGTAGAAATAACAAATAATACTGCAAATACATGTAGAGTGTGATATTATCCTTCAATATAATGTCAACAGGTTAATAAATTGACCATCAAGTACTTTTGAAAAAAACTTAAATGAAATCCTTTCCTTAGGATTTTAAAGGGGCACATGTAGCCATGACTTTGGTACATGTAGCTTAATTATGATTCCTTACAAATTTACTGAAAATGTTACTTAAGTTTTTTTTCCTGGTCAGAAATGAAGAAATGTATAAAAGTTTCTCTTTGACAAAAATACAATCCATTTCTTAATTTTCATCCATCATTTAACAGAGAATAAATTGCAGTAAAAACATGAAAGAATATACATTTTTTCAAATAAAAAATATTTTAATGTACATTTATCTAATTATAATGCATATTTATATTATTTTTTAATTAAGTTTAAGTACCGTATTTGAGCCTATTTTCTGAATATTTTTCTTAAAACTAAATAGTTTATTTGTTATAAAAATAATTGTTTGTCGCTTTCATCAAAGCATACTTGTTTTGCTTCTCCAGAATTAATCTGCATATCAAACTAAATTCATTTTTACTTTCCAATCCTTAGACAATAGTTCAATTTCATGACCCTCAATTTGGTAAGCTCTACTTAACTTTCAAAATCTCTTGCATAAATATGAGATTTAATAAGAAACCCCTCTTATGCAACATTTGTCAAAATATTTAATTTTCAGGGGGAAAATTTGTTTACAGTAGAAAAACACTTCATTTTAATCTAATTTTCTTGAGAAATTGTTCAGAAAATTTTGTTCAAACTTTTGCGTAACTTCTTTAAATTGAGGGGCACCTGTTTCACAATTAATTGAGCAAGAACCCCATGTAAGAGCCCGAGACCTCAAAATAACATTTGTTAAGTCAACAAACTGTGATTTAACTCCCACAGAGAAAGTTTGTTTGGTGGAAAAAAATATTTACTTGGAATGTAATTTTAAGTACAAATAATTTCTGTAGTACATACTTAATAGAAGTATCAATTAATATATGGTAAGCAAATCAGTAATTTCATTAATTCAAACTGCATTCATTGATATAACTGTGTCCATGAAATTATCAAATGCAATCTGTATATAGTTCCAGATACTCTTTCGATAAACTGTTTTAAATGTAATAAAGAGAAAAAAAATTCATCAGCATCTTACCAGATAGTGTTGTGTTAGGTCTGTTTATTAACATCCTTTCAGTTATCAAAGAATTTTTCCCAATTACAGCTGTATCTAACAGCAACTCTATACATTCACAAAAAGCAACAGTTTTGCAAATGTATTACATCCTTTAACCTCCATAGAAACTCCAAGTATTCCACACAAACATAGGCCACCAATGTTATTTGAACATGAACTAGCACCTGCTATGATAAAATTTTGCTGCTGTTTGGGGATCGGTGCAACATGAGCAGATAATTGGCTGTTATGATGCTATTCCATCTCCCTTATTGATTTACTGTGTATGAGCATTACCAGTGGCTAATTTGTCCTGGTCATGCTAGATTTAGATATATGCAGTGGTAGGCAGTGTCTGTATACATCCTACTACTAGTGTTGGCTGGGTGTACGGTTTAGAGTTCAGAATTAAGGTTGTTTTTTTAATTAAAAAAAAAATTGAACCAAGAAAATTATTTGTCTCCTCCTCCCCCCCCCCCCTTCCCCCAGCAAGCTTATATGCTTAATCAGTAAATGGTGACAGGGTTACTGTATTTCCTTTGATAAAAATACATTCACCAACTATATAACAGTAGAATAAATTAATTCCCCCAACACAAAAATATGAACTACTTAACATTAAATATTAGCAAGAATGAAATGGCAAAAAAGAAATTGTTGAATTTGAAAACATGACATATTGAAGAATTGTCTCCATATTTTACCCTGATTATTAATGTACACTTGTGTCAATCAAATTATGAATGTGAAAATGAAAATTAAAATTATCAGCTTACACTAATTATCTGACAACTTAAACTTGTTAGATTTCAGTAAAAACTTACATCTTCTCTTGGATTTTTTCTTTCTTTTTTTCCTATTTGTCACTGACCAGTGCACTCCTCTGAGTAGAAAAGAAATGGACTCTCAGTCATGACCAGTTTGATTTCCTACTGAGAATCTAATTATTTTTTACCTGTTAATAAAACAACCAATTATTGTCAATTAAAGTTTTATAATTGGGGATCACAGTAGGTGTATAAACACACTGTGACCAGGTCATAGTGGGTGTCTGAATATATGAATGTCAATTACTAGCTAATTATCCCAGTTCTCTATTGGCCAACATAGTAGTATCCTTTTATCACACTAATGCCAATTGATTAAAAATTCAGGAAAGAAACAAATTTGTTCCCTTTCTTCTTCTTATTATAGACCAAAATATTGAAAAGAAGATTAGACATCAAAGATTTTTTTTTTTAATTAAAACAATTGAAAAATAATTAGATGTGAATTAAAAAAATTAAGATGGTATGATTTTTTTTTAATTTAAGTTTATACATATCAGCTTAACATTATTGTAAACATCAAAGGGTAAATTTCACTCTATCAATAGTAGGACATACTGTACAGTCCTTGACAAAAGTACATGCTTCTCGGCAACCTTGATAAAATGCCAGTTTATTGACCCCTCCCAGACCATACCATATTTTAGTTGACCCCTCCCAGACCATACCATATTTTAAAAAGAGGTTGCTATGCATAACTTGTACTTTCAATTTCAATCATGATAATTGTCACCAATACACAGTGTCAGACAATTTTCTATCAAGTCAGATACCCAAGGGCTTTCTTCAATCTTATCAAACAGAGAATCATATTGTGCTCAGACTTAAATGTTTTTTCCCTTCGAGATTCTGAAATTTGAGAAAACTACTTCAAATTAATAGAAATTCCCAATGAGCACAATTAGGTGTGTGAAAGACTAATTTAAGGTGATAAGAGTACCAATCACGGATCAAATCCCCACAGCCTCTTGTCACTAGCAACAAAGGGAACCAGATTACCGAATAAAGGACAGAGAATGGAGATCCCCCCTTAAGCTGTAGAAAAGAAGATCAGATATCTGGGGATCAGTGAGAGGACAAAGACAGGGCAGACAATGCACTCTGAAATGTGTCACAGAGATCTGGATTTATGTTTTAGAGAAATACCAGTATGTGTAAAATGATTTATAAGGTAAACCCCTATGCTGTAATATGTGTGCTTTTGCCCTAGTAAACTCTCTCCCAACTCCTGGGAATTGGATCAGAGTAGAAAAACAATAAGTGCATTCTCTAATAACTTGAAAGTCACCAGAATTTCATATAGATGTATCATATCAAGAAAACTTTTAAACAACTTATGAGACATTTAAGTATTTTATTGATAAAAACATCTTTCTTAATGGCAATATTAGTTTCACATCTGCCAGCTGCCCAATTGTCTTGAGTTCAGTTCCCAGAGTGGGTGCTAATTTTTTCTTTTAAATTAATATACAGTCAAACCTCATTATCTCAAACTTGATTGGACCGAGAATAAACTAATATCCAAGAGGCTGAGATATTGAGGTTAAAATACGTAAAGAAAAAGTGGTTGGGACCTCCAACTCACTTGAAATATCCATTATAGCCATGGTATTGAAGAAACCCAAGTTCAAGATGCCAAAGTTCAATTGTATATTTTGATATACTTTCCAACTGTCATGCATGTAAATAAGCCCTTGTTGAGTCTAATACACATATAGCAACATAATTCTCCAGTGTGGTAGTATGTAGAGCCTATCAAACATTATACATATAAAACTGCTTGATTAAAAACCAAGAATGAATGTGTACTTATATGGATGTAATTTATAGTCTTGAGACCTGAATAAAAGAAACTTTACCCAGTCTTTAGACTTGACATTTTTTGACATTCCTAGAAGATATAGGCCAGTGTCCATTTATGATAAATGTATCAGTAAGTCTGATATAGGCAGGGTGTCTATTTATTATAATGTATCAATAGACTGATATAGGCAGGATGTCAATTTATTATTGCATCAGTAAGACTGATAAAGGCAGGGTGTCTATTTATTATACATGTAATGTACCAGTAAGACTAATAAAGGCAAGATATCAATTTATTATTGTATCAGTAAAACATAGACAGGATGTTCATTATTATTATCAGTATAAAGTGCGATATAGACAGGATGTCTATTTATTATTGTATCAGTAAAACATAGACAGGATGTTCATTATTATTATCAGTATAAAGTGTGATATAGACAGGATGTCTATTTATTATTGTATCAGTAAAACATAGACAGGATGTTCATTATTATTATCAGTATA